CTGACTACAGTTTTGTGATAAGGATATAATATGTTTTGAGCCGTGTCTAAGTGCTATACAGGTACCTGCTTCGTCCCACCGCGACTCGTCAGTAGCATCGTCCCTCAGTCCAGCCGATCTCCTGAGGCCATACTCCTCTATGAAGGAATCGATGCCGAGTAATAAACCACCGCAAGTCAGATGATGGGATTACCTGACACTGTAGTGACCGGTAGTCGAGCTTGTGGCTTTTAAAGTGAATCACACCTCTTCAGTATATAAAAAAGCGGTCTAAAGTACAATTCTAGGTAACTCCATCATCTGACTTGCGGTGATTTATTATTCGGCGTCTATTCCTCCATAGAGGAGTGCAGCCTCAAATGATCGGCACGACTCAGGGACGGTACGACTGATGAGTCGCGGTAGGACGAAACAGTCTGCTGTATAGCACTTGAACATGGCTCAAAACGTGTTATATCCTTATCAGATTATCACTGTTTTGCTAGGTCTATGAAAAGCGATCGAATGAAGAGGCATGATTCACTACAGTTTACATCAAAGTTAGTGATAAAAGCCTCTAATGTGCTATGGTTTGACAAAAGCGACCACCTGTAGGAGATCATAAAAGCAGTTATAATCCAAATAAATAATATTGACGACAATCATCATGGAATCAATATGCCTGATAATCATTTTTTAAGCCACGCATGTCAGTGGTCTGTCAAAGAGGGCTGACTTATAGAGCCCGATACACGTGTTTCGATCTTGCGATCTCGTCAGTCGGGCAGTTACCCTTTCTCGTCTTTTGCTAATCTCTGTGAGTGCTCCAGTCCCCACACTAAGAGTTGATGCCGAGCCCGACTGACGAGATCGCAAGATCGAAACACGTGTACCGGGCTCTATAAGTCAGCCCTCTTTGACAGACCACTGACATGCGTGGCTCAAAAAATGATTATAAGGCATGTTGAAACTTGAGCTATGGTCTTAAGAAAACACTCGAAACGAAAGATATAATCATTATGGATTATCTGCCAAATGAAATGAGGTGCTAGTGGACTTTCGCTTGTGTCGCCACCTCTGCACTGATAACGAATTGACAGAGTGTAGATGGAAAAGTCAATTAGTGAATGAGAATGCCGAGGAAAAAGTCTGATTAATATCGATGTGAGCACTTCGATCGCCATTCATATGAAATGCTGAATGAAACATTCATGTTCATTCGACGTCAGATATCGAGAAGAATCGATGAGAACATAACAATGTCAGTAAATAGTGGATTCAATTTCGGTCGCGGATGACCTCGTTTTGACCTTCCGGTGGTGGATCTGCCAGACTGCAAAATACGGTGTTGAGCAAGATGAAATTAAAAAAATAAGTCCAATAAGTCCTGAGCTGCAATTTTTGCTTACTACTTAAGCTTTTTGTATTTACACAGTAAACGCCAAGTGTAATAAATGACTAGATCGGCAGTGTTTGACACTAGATTGCTCTTGGGTGGCATTTCTGTAATATTATACCTTGTAATTCGAGTGTTTTATCAAGACCACACTCAATTTTTTTAAGATATATCATAATTGCTAAGAGCGCAAGTGGCGCATTGGTTAGAGGTGCTCTGCGTCGCACACGAGGTCAATAAAAAGGATCTCGCGCTTATGGCTCACCAAGCCATCCATCCCTCCGAGGTCCGCAAACTGGTACCAGACAGATCTCAGACTTGCCTGGGAGTATAAGCAGCACTGACTCGATTCAGCGGTAGGCCACCGCGAGTCATTGTAAAGGCCAGATATGCATTCAATCACCTCAGACGAAGTTAGAAATTGAAGTCGAATGCATGGCGCATCCCTCAGGGATTGGTTAACCGAGAGCTTTATCCTTTATCCTTTTATCATAATTACTACTTTACATCGCGTCATCAGCATGTCACCTGGTCTGTTTATGGGCTCTTGTATAGCCCGTCACACGTGTTTTGGCCTTCCATACCAAGAGCAATCGAGTGTCGAAATTCGTCGATCTTGAGATTTTTCACTTGACGGCGATTGTGCGAATCGTTCGTCGTCGTCTACTTCTTTATAGGGTAATGTAGGGATCCCCGAAAAGATTGGCTAAAGACGAAGGGTCTGCCCGACTGACGAGGCTAACAAGGCCGAAACACGTATATCGGGCTGTACAAGAGCCCATTAACAGACCACACGACATGTTGGCTTCAATAATCATGAGATAAAATATATAGCTTGATAGCGATATACTATGTTTCGAGTCGCGATTGTGAGGTCTAAGTGCTAGACAAGCGCCTGTTTCATCCTCGAGGACTCTTCACTAGCACAGTCCCTCGGTAGAGCCTAAGAAGCCCTAGAGGACTAAACGGGTGTCTGTCTACCACTTAGACCTCACAAAAGGCTCAAAACATGTCATATCATTACCAGACCATTATTCTTTTTTAGCGAGGTCTCGAGCCTTCAAACAAGCGAAAAAGCTCTGCGTTCCTCTTTTCAATGGCGGTACGTGCTTACCAGACCAAACCCGTTAACGGCTGATTGCTGGCAGCTTCGATAGATCATGTCGAAGAAAGTGTGGCCCCAAAGCGGTGGCCTTTATGATGTAGTGGTAGCGCGCGCCCCAGTAGGGTGAGACATGGGTTCGACTCCCGGCTGAGGTCCATTTTTGCGTATCACTCAACTTTCTTAGTTTACAACAACGAAGTCCTCTTCACACAATCAACTCGGAACGTACGTTCCAAAGTAGTGAAGAAGAAATCGGGAGAAAGTACAGATGGCGTTTTTCGTCGACTGACACCACAAGAACTGAGCTGCGTCGCTGATAACACTGTACTTCTACAACACACTGATAACCGCCAGTTTATTAGCTTAGATATTGACTATAGGGTTAAAAAAAGAACGACTGTCGACTGCTGAGAATGTAACTAACGAAAATAGATTAATCACCAGTGGAGGGAGAAGACTGTGGATGAATGCCAAAGACGTGATCTACCCAATACTCGAGACCGATTCGACTAACCCTTTAGGGACGGCAATTGATCGACCGCAAGCGCAACTCACACGGGGCGTGGTTTTCGTTTTTGAATTAGGGTTTTTCCTCTTTTTCGACGACAAAACCTACGGGTCTTCTGTATCGCTCTGATACTCCATCATTTCCTCTACACGATCCTATGTTTTTCATGAATATATGGCTTTTCCGTGCGATAAAAACCTCGAGTGCGAAATGTAATCTTCTTTCTGCTCTTACAGCTTTCTAAAATAACCTTTCAAGAAACCAATTACAGCATCGAGATCCACGAAACTTGGGCTAACGATTGACTAGTAAAAGTTTGGCGAAGAGCCATATACAAACCTCAGCCGAGCGAATAGGGCGAACAGAGTGTGAAACATAATGTTATCTTCGTTATTACAACGTGAAGAAAAGGCTTTATTGAAAATCAAACAGAGTGTTAAAATCGGAGGGATCCAAGTTTCCGACTGACTACTGTCCTTCTAAGAGAAAATTTTTTTGCAGCGTCAAAAGCATTCAAACAGTCGTGTACCTCATGTGGTACACGTCGTCCTTTCGGGGTTGATCTCGGCATAGTTGGGATAAATCAGTCGATTCTTCCGTTTAGCAGTTCTGAGGTGTTACTAATTGTATTTACTGAATATCCGTGATGCAATACGATAATAGTACAGCGTAGTAATGTAACACAAACAGTACAATAATCGTGCAATGGCTAACATTTCGGGGGATGCCCGGTTTTTTCGGGGCCTGGAAAGCTCAAATTCATGCGCAATCCACCCAGTCCAAAGCCTCCATGATCTCAGCGTAAAAACTAAGAAATACGTTTTGAATAGCTCAATAATAAGCTTCATTTCAAGACACTCACCGCTTAGATGATTGAGATAATCTTTCAATTTGCCTGATAATCATTTTTGAGCCAGGCATGTCAGTGGTCTGTCAAAGAGGGCTAACCTATAGAGTCCGATACACGTGTTTCCAACTTGCGATCTCGACAGTCGGGCAGTTACCCTTTCTCGTCTTTTGCTAATCTCTGTGGGTGCTCCAGTCCCCATACTAAGATTTAGCGACGACGAACGTTTTATCGGGCTCTATAAGTCAGCCCTTCTTGACAGACCACTGACACGCATGGCTCAAAAAATGATTATCAGGCATATTGAAATTTGAGCTGTGTTCTCAAGAAAACACTCGAATCGAAAGATATGATCTTTTAATTGTTATGAACACCTTGCCGAAACGGCTCAACAAAAGAAACTACTGATTTACGCAATAATTCAAATGAACATCCACTTTTGCCAATAATTACGATTATAAATATCCATGGGATTATCCTAGCAATTAACGAAACTCGATAGAGGAAGCGGAAACGAACCAAAAACACTGCTTATTTTCGAGCCGTTCAAACGGTTCCTCCTTTCGGCCCACCATCCCGCCACATTTTTCTGTTCGATTGGAGCGCAACTTATCGATATCCGCGTACCGAAATCAGTACTCGTTTTCAGTGGAATGCGGTAGAACAGAACGTGATTTATCTATTACTTACTTTCTCATGACAGCCATTGTTGTTCGGGTCCCAAAAGGAAAAGATGGAAACAGGAATAACCGGCTAATCAATTCAGATGTCTATTCAATTGTAAATGTGAATCTTTAGGGTTCATGTCAGACGGAACATGTCTCTTAGTATTACAGTTTATTGTCATGAAGTAGCGCTATCGGGCTAAGTGTAACACTTCTCTAAAGGATTGCTCGATTTACAGAACAGTGAGAAACATTCCAAAATACATGAACTAGAAAAAATAATAATAATGTCTCTAATATGCTCTAGCACGATTATGATCTGTGAAATATGCAGCTGCCATCAAATCATAGGATTTTATAAATACGAAAAGTACACAGGCACAGAAATCAATGAAATGAAGTGTAGACGAGAATAATAGCGACATATTCGTAAGTAGCAGCAGGTCTCAAAGAAGTATACCAAAGTATACCCACTGATGTAGAGCGATGTGCAAAACTTTTGCGTCAGGCGGGATTAGAACCCGCACCTCACTCCTTACGGGAATGCGTGATCTATCCATTACACTACTGGCGGCTGACAGGTGCACTGTAGCGTAGAAAGAACGATGTCCAAAATGGGCGTCAGTAGAGTAACGGATAGAGCACGCATTACCGGAAAGAGTGAGGCGCGCGTTCTAGATCCGCCTGACGCGGAAGTTTTGCACATCGCTCTACATCAGTGGGTATATATTATAACATCATACCACCGCTATAAGCGGTTAAATAAAAATGAATATCACTTTGATCTATACCAAAATACTCTTCACGAACAATCAAATAAGAAAACATGTTAGTTGGAGACAATCCGCCCATACTCGCTAGTATCACAGAACTGAAAAAGTACGATGTATATTGTATCGAAAACCAATGCGGATTTACAGAAAATATCATTGCTAAGTATTCAGTAACTGATGCCGCTGCACTGCTAAAATGATTAAGTGAGCAGTTTATGAAAAACTGCGTCGCACACAAGGTCGATGGTTCGATCTCGCGCTCTTGGCTCACTAAGCCATCCATTCCCTTCGTAGTCGATAAACTGGTACCAGACTTGTGTGGGAGAATAAGCAGCATATTCAATACATCGAGAGGATATCGCGAGTCAGAGTAGAGGCCAGATATGCATTCAATCACCTCAAACGAAGCTAAAACAAAACGATTGCGTAGCGCATCCTCCATATATTGATAAAAGCCGAGAGCTTCAAAAGCTTTAGTTTTTTCCAGGATATTTCTTCTAAATGAAATCACCATCAAGTGAAATCACACCTATGATTTGGCAAATTAAACATGACTATTGCTTTTGCAAACATGAACTTATGAATGAGTAGAATACACGAGAAATGTACTTGTAAATATTAGCTTTTGATCAAACCATCTTTATATGGACTCAGCTGCCCCACCGCGGTAAAATACGTCCGCAAACTTAAGATTAAGTGCAAATTGGTGACGAAACTTTTGTCAGGTGATTGCTATTGTGCACCACATGTTCGTTTTACTGCAGTAGCAACCTCACTGGAAATGAATTCGAAATATTCTGACCACAGAAGTCCAGCTAATACTTTCGATCACTGTCAAGATTATATCGGTACTTGAAGCAAGCCAGTCGCGATTTTAGGGTGATTTAGCATTCCCAGTTAGAACAAAAGATGTCAACTATGCTAAGATCAAGTAGTTTAACAGCTCAATCAGAAATAAAAGGATAAGAATAAAAACGACGGCGTTGATCAATTCCCAAGAGATACGCCATGCATTCATCTCCAATTTTAAACTCCGTTTAAGGCGACTGAATGCATATCCGACCTTTACGATGACCCGCGGTGGCCTACCGCGCATCAAGTCAGTGCTATTTATATTCCTATACAAGTTTGTGACCAGTCTGGTACTAATTTACCAAACCCGGAGGGATGGATGGCTTGGTATATCACAAGCGCGAGATTGAACCATTGACCTTGTGTGTGGCGCAAAGCAGATCTAACCACCGCGCCACATGCGCTACTGATCGTAAAATGTGGTAAGATTCACAGGGTTTATATACACGTATCATGTAACTAAATGCGTATATATAAATCTTGTGGCCAAGTATTCTTTGTATATTGTGAGTACTGATGTGTTAAAGTATCAACACTTACTAACATTTCACATCACAGATAACATTCACTTTCCGTTTCTTCATCTTGTCTTCCAAAAAGGATCAATGGTATTTAACGGATCATTTGGATCCAGCTCTGGTAATGGAGTGTCTCCACCGCTACGGATATGTTCATGCAGACGACGTTTCTCCAGACGAGTTTTATCGCATGGTCCAATCTCGAACTTCGTAGGATCTGTTATATCTGATAGCGGCAGTATACGGGAAGTCTATAAGTAGTTAAATCAATTAAACTTTAGGAATTAATTATATAAAAAATTTATCAAAAGTTAGAAAATAAAAAATCAAACATATAACTCAAGTCGAGATAGAGATGAAAAGGAAAAAGAGGTACTGCAGCCTTTGGAAAAGTTTGCATGGAAAACGTTGACTTTTGTCTTAAATGACCAGCATCCACGTCTGTTGAGCTAATTCCAGCACTTTCTGCATAACAATCACAGTTTCACACTTATCACCAACCAAAATTATCGCAATTTTTCCAGATGGGATCAATTACTAGATATAATTCTTTTTTTTTTTTGTTATGTGTCATTGTACACTGGCCTAGTTCATTTGTTCTGCTGTCTTAGGATATTGGTACCAAAACATTCGCATATGAGTTGTTATAAACCTTGCCATCTCATCGACTGTTTTATAAAACGTCACTTTAGAACTTCAATATATTTCAATAGACTGTTCTTAAGCCTTCTCGAGGTATGTGCCAATGGCTTATCTACGTTTCGGTGGTTTCGCTCCCGTTGTCAAAACCATATGCTTCATAATAGAAATGAGGAGACACAGAATTTCAAGATCAGGCAACATGAAATGTTGCCGCTTTACAGTCGATCGTTTGCGGCCTTTCGATAATTATACAAACTTCGCCATTTCATCTCAGTTCTATGAAACCTCGTTCTAAAGGTTAAGAAGTTATGGAAGGCTCAAGTCAATAGTCTAAAGAAATACATTGATGTTCTAAAACGAGGTTTCATAAAACAGTCGGTAGAATGAGGAAGTCTGTATATTAACTCTTTAGGGACGGCATTAGATCGATTGCACTCGTAAGAGGTGCGCAATTTCCGTTATTCATTTAGGGTTTTCCTCCATTTTGAAAGCAAAACCTTAGATTAATGTGTTTACTGTGATACTCCACGATATTCTCTACATGATCATATGCTTTTTGTGCATATACAATTTTTCTGTAAAAACTTTGAGTGCAGAACGCAATCCTCTTTTCGCTGCACAGCATTCTATAATAACTTTCAAAAAACCAATTTCGGTTCGGAATCCTCGAGATTTGGGCTATCGATTGACTAGCAAGTGTTTGGTAAAAAGCCATTCGCAAGTTCCAGCTGAGAAAATAAAACAATTTCAGTGTGAAACATAATATTATTTTCGCTGCTATAAGATAATAAAAAAGCTTCCGAAAATCAAGCTAACAGCTGACATCGCAGAGATTCAAGCTTTCGAAAGATTGACAAGTGTCTAAGATAAAGATTTTAATCAGCAAGAAAGACCTTCAAACAGTTGTGTACCTCAGCTGGTACGCGTCGTACTTAAGGAGTTAATAGAAACCGCAAGCCATCGACTGTAAAACGACTCTAACAACATTTCAAGTATCTGTTCTTGATTTTCTATGTCGCCCAATTTCTACTAAGAGGCTGTGGCTCTAACGAGGCAGGCGAAATTGTCTAGACGTGAGCAAGCCACTAGCACTACCAAACCTCGAAAAACTCAATGATAATGTACGTTATACTAGACAATGTTTCAAACTCACTTGTGGAGGAATAGATGAAACTGGTGCCACACACTCCCTCTAAACAAAACACAAATCGTTGAACGAAGATTTCAAACTTGAGATAAACGTTTCTGAAAACTCACTGACTGTTCAGTACTCGAACTCTGAGCGTCTTGGTATTGGAGAGGCATAACGGCAGCTGCAGGGCGTGGAGCCTGAAATGTCGCTTATATAGAAATAAGTGTATTTATCATAGTCAGTCCATGAAACTCCTCTACACCATTTGTAAGTGCGAAGAAAAATATCTGTTTTCGTTTCTCAGAACAAAAATCGAGAGCAAAGACGTCCAAAAAGAAACAAAAAATTTCAGGACAAAAAACAAAACATGGTTTTACGCGACGGGTGGCTTCGAATAATCATCAAGCTCAAACTTCATGAGAAAGTTTCCAGTGAAATTTCGGAAATAGAAGGCTTTTGAAGGGGCTTTCTGCAGTGTAGAATATGATTGTGCTATAAGATCTTATTTCTAAACTCGGACACACGAAAATCGACCAGAATAAATGCAAATATGTTAAAGACAAAATTCTTTCTATTTGACCGCTTTAAAGCGGTGATATGATGTAACCAATGTTGACTAATATGCAGAATCTTTGTGTCAGACAGGACTCCAACCCGCAAATCACCCCACCCCTGTGACCGCGCGATGTGACCCGTAGAAAAAGTGGCGGCAAAACAGGCGTCGGTAGTATAACGTCTCAGAGCACGGGCCAGTGGATAGGGTGAAATGCGGGTTCGCGTCCCGTGTGACCGAAAGTTTTCCATATCATCGAACATCGTTTGTAAAATCAAATATTTGGTGATAACTTTATAAACTTCTCCTCACTTGACACTGACCGATATGCATGAAAATTTGCGATCCCACTAAGTACGTGTTGTTAAAGCCATTCCTAACCTGAGTGGACTGCGGTATAGAAATTCCTTGTAGCGAAGCTGGCTGGATATACTGATTTGTTCCAGATTCCTTCACTAGGGTCGTTTGACTTCTTTTATCTGTATTAACAACAATGTCGTCAGGTAAAGCGATGAATAGCAGATAGCGTTAACGTTTCAGACGAAGATGATGACGATGGTTCACACGTTTGTAGCAGATCTAAAACTCATAAGTAATACACATTACTCCCCAACAAGGAGGCCACTAAAAAAGAAAAAAAAAACAAAACACAGCAACCACGAGCTAGAGTTCTGGCAACTTTAGAAACCAAGTAATATTATAATGACATTTTTTGTCCTAAAATAAGAAGTACACCTTGACTTTCTAATGATTTTGGAACCGGAACCATTGCAGGTGGTAAATTGCTATTGTCAGCCAAGCCATCAAGAAGATCCTAAAATCTCCTATCGCTCTTGTATCTGTACACGAATTCATTTACAAATAAGAAGCTGTGAGCTAAAAGGTTGTTCGAGTATCTCACCATATTAGGCACATTTTTATGGACTGCTTGAAATGACTGAGCGTTGTCTTGAACCTAAAACACAGTATCGAAATTTAGGCTGACAATGCATCACCCTATACAACTAAATAGGAGCAAAATCAATAACGGAAGAACCAACCACGTTGGGCACATTTTTATCACTTCTTTGGAATGACTGTGGATGATCTTGGAGCTAAAAAAATA